TCACTTAAGATTCAGCAAAATAATCCTATAGAGAAAAAAAAAAAAAAAGATTCCGCAAAATAATGGGCGTACTAATCAACTTTGGCCTTTTTGAAATACCCAATCAACTTTGGTTGTCTGGTCATTTGGTCGGTTAGTTTGAGATTTGAGTTTTCCTCCTTTTGTCATCAAAGAAAAGTACTGTCCTTAAAGTCAATTACTTGCCCCATTAATTTGTTAATTATTTTTCTTTTGCTTATCTAAGATCCGACAATGTTTCAAATTTCACCCATACAAAACGACAAAAAGATACAGTACCTTTGCCTACCAACAGCAGAACAATATCCAGAATCCAATCCCCCCACCCACCTGTACACTATTACAATAAAAGGACTTTGTTTAACTACACTAAATTGTTTTATAAAGATTATTAAATAAAGACAATTTTAATATTAAAAAATCTTTAAAAAGTATTAAAGAGAGATAATATTTTTAACATTGAAAGACTTACTTTATTTAACAATTTTAAATTTATAATTTAATATAATTTTATAATTTAATATAATAACTTACTGTAATATAAATTTTAAATTTTTAGGAGGTTTCTCAAATAGCTTTGGCTTAGTTCAAAACTAATCTATGCTCAAACATGTTAAGACTGCACTCTCCAGTAAATTTAATAAAATTAAATTTCTTATTAATTCTATGACTTAAATACTAGAACTAACTTACAACACTAAATAACACTTGTTTAAGCCATGTTTAGTTTGATTGTCATTTTTGGTTTTTAATTTTGATTCTTATAAATTTTACAATTCTAAATAAAAGCTCATTTAATTTCATTTCATGTTTATTTGTCAAATTATTATTATGACTAGTAAAGAAAATAGAAACAAAAATAATTTTAATTATTACTAGATAAGTTTATAGTTTTATTAGTGTTGAAACTTGTTTTAAACAAATTATTAATTTTTTATTTTTATTTTTGATTTTTAACAATTGAAAATTTTATCTGAATGAAGTAAAAAATTCACAACCATGCTAAACATAGACTTAGTTTGATAGTGCTGCACTATAATTGCAATTGTAGATTTTTTCTCCTTTAACATTCAAAAATATATAAAATATATTTAATATTTATTTTAATTAACATTTTTTATATTTTTAAATAATAAAAATATATAAAAATTAAAAATTAAAGCATCAAGAAACATTTTCAAATGAAGTCATAGTGTAGCAATTCGTTCAACCTTGGGTAATCTAATAATAATTACCCTAATTAATGTTAACAACTTAAGCAATCTAATAGTTTTCTTTTCTTTTAAAATAAAAGACCTTCAATTCAAATTATAGGCATGCAAGTGGAGTGTGGAGAGAACTATCTATAATCATACAACTTAAAATGAAAAAATTAATGATAACAGTAAGCGTTGCATCCTCAGCTTAAAGTTTAAGTTTTAATATAAATATTAAAATAAATAATTTTTTTAAATACACTACATCAAAATAAGATGAACTTTTTTAATGTTAGAATGAGACGCATTTTTAAAATCACTTAAGGTGTGAGAAGTTCTTTTTTTTGGCATTGAGGTGGGAAAAGTGATTCAAAAATATCCTAACTCTCCAAATAATAATAATAATAATAATAATCAAAGAATAATGGTTAAATAACTTGTAAAGCTGATCCTCACACTTTGCCTCAAATTAATAGGATCACCTTTATGAATTACAATTTAGAACACATAGATTTTCTTTCCTAATTCCCATTCCCCCTCCCCAAAAAAAAAAAAAAAAAAAAAAAAAAAAAGAAAAAGGAGTAATCTTGTTAAAGAAGAAATAACGAGTAAATATGTAAATAAGGATATCAATTTTATATTTTTTTTATTTAAAAATGTTAATTTTATCAATTTTTAAATAAAGATGTTTACTTTTAATTTTTTCTAAATAAAAATATCAACTTTTAACTTTTTATATTTAAGGATATCAATTTTTAATTTTTTTTATTTAAGGAATAATTGGGGGCGATGTTGACCGTGGCTAATATATTTTTTTAGATTAAATACCTGAACTGATCCCTCAACTTTTATTTTTGAACCAATTCATCTTTAAACTTCAGAAAGTACCAAAAACGTCCTTCAACTTCAATTTTCAGCACCAATTTCGTCTTTTCGTCAGTTAAGTACTAATGTAGCTAATTTTTTCCGTTAAGTGATTAACTATTTTACATTTTCAATATTATGCGAAAAATCCATCATGTAAAAGATGATTATGTGGATTTTTTTAATTGTAAATAATTTAAAAACTATTTTAATTCTTAATTTTATTTTATTTGTATTTAAAAATTAAAACAATTAATATTATTTCTCATTTAATTAGTCCCACCTACCATAAGTAACTTTTAATTTATAAAGAAATAAATTAACTCTCGGTTAATTTTATTAAATCAAATCTCACCTACTATAATTATTTCCTAATTCATGGAAGAATTAATTAACTTTTGTTTAATTTTATTAAATGGAATTAAAATAAAATTAAAATAATTTTTTTGTTCTTCTTCCTCGACCTTCTTTTTTGTTTAAATTATTAAAATAAATTGTAATTATTTCCTATTTGATTCTTTCATGATTAAATTTCATTTAATAAAATTAAATAAAAGTTAATTGATTTTTCCATGAATTAGGAAATAATTATAATAGGTGAGATTTGATTTAATAAAATTAAATAAGAGTTAATTTATTTCTTTATAAATTAAGAGTTCCTTACGGTAGGTAGGACTAATTAAATGAGAAAATATATTAATTGCTTTAATTTTTAAATATAAATAAAGTAAAATTAAGAATTAAAAATTTTTAATTAAATATAAATAAAGTAAAATTAAGAATTAAAGTAGTTTTTAAATTATTTAAAATTAAAAAAATCCACATAATCATCTTTTACATTATGGATTTTCCACCTAATATTGAAAATGTAAAATAGTCAATCACTTAGTGGAAAGATTAGTTACATCAGCACTTAACTGACGGAAAGACGAAATTGGTGTTGAAAATTGAAGTTGAAGGATGTTTTTAGTATTTTTTGAAGTTCAAGGATGAATTGGTTCAAAAATAAAAGTTGAGGGACCAATTCAAATATTTAACCTAAAAAAATATTTATTACGTAATCATCGCCACCCAATTAATTCTTAAAAAATTTTGAAATTTAACATTTTTAAATAAAAAAAATTAAAAATAAAATCTTTATTTAAAAAAATTAAAAATTAAAATTTTTATTGAAAAACTAATAAAATTAATATTTTTAAATAAAAAATATAAAAATAACATCTTTATTTGTAATTTTACTCAAAATTTTACTCAAGAAATAACTTGTAAAGTTGTAATCTCTTGTGAAATGATTATCGGTTCATCCAGCCAACAATGCATACTTATAATAATCCTAGGAATAATCAAATACTGCAGTTCGCCGTCATCCCACGACTTTTCTAATCCCACAGAATCCTCCAACTCATTATCTCATATATTCAATCTTCACTTTTTAATCTTTATATTAATCCATCTCCATCCTCCCATCGACAACCTGCGGCTAATTCTTCATCAAATGGCCTCACTTTCTTTCACTCGGATCGGAGGAGGGCACCACCAGAGCCCAGTTGCTGACTTTGCTGGGTCTCGCCGGTTGGCTGCGCCAGCAACGGCTCGTCCGGGACGAGTTGCCTTAAGGGTTTTTGCTTCTGAGAGTCGAGGAGAGCCGGACTTGAGTGTCACTGTAAATGGATTGAATATGCCCAATCCATTTGTTATCGCGTCGGGCCCACCCGGTACAAATTATACTGTCATGAAGAGAGCCTTCGATGAAGGTTGGGGTGCTGTGATTGCCAAAACTGTAAGCATTTTCTCTCCATTTTTTTTCCAAAGGTTTGAGCTTTCTATTTAGTGTTGGGTTTTATACATGTGTTGTTCATTTGGAATCTTTTTATTTTCTCAATTGGAATCTGTTTACTTTAATCACTTTCTGATCTTTTCATAATTCTCAACTGCTTCACGTAAGTGGGCCTGTATTTTTTTTGGGGGGAGGGGGGGGGGAGGGTTGTCTAGAAGTTCTTGCATATTGATCCAGGAGTTCCTATGGTTGATTTGTCCTTTGTGACATAAAGAGAAAAGGATACATTAACTAATGTTAATAGGCCTGTATGCAGCAGGCGGACATGAGGGTGTGCCTTCAGGATAGCCCTGGGAGATATTAGTCTTGAGGTGCACAAAACCTGCCTCAGGAATAACCTGACTGTAAATACTAAAAAAAAAGGCTTGTAACGTACATTGCATACATAGATATGGCAATACTGCAATAGCTGGACGAATCCTTGGGATCCCCACTGATCTTTCCTAATGGGGCAGTTTTTGAGGGATAAGAAGGAAGGATTTTTTTAGTTGAGAAAGGAAGGCAGTGGCATTGGTTTATCCTGCATCTTCTATCTAACTTTGATTAAAAATGTAATTTACAAATTCATTGAAATGTATTGGTCTGTTTCATATTGTACAGTTTAAAATACATATAAACCAAAATTAAATATAAAGAATTATTTGATTATGTTTTTATAGAATACAAGGTATGCCAGAGCGAGTGTGGGTGATGTCTATGCACACATTTGCATACGAAACTTGTCTTGATCCAGATTATTGTGTAGGTTTCACTAGATGCAGCCAAAGTAATAAATGTAACTCCTCGATATGCAAGGCTACGAGCAGGAGCAAATGGCTCTGCCAAAGGACAGATTATTGGGTGGGAGAACATAGAGCTAATAAGTGACAGACCTTTTGAAACTATGTTGAAAGAATTTGAGCAACTGAAAGAAGAATATCCTGATAGGATTCTAATTGCTTCTATCATGGAGGAGTATAATAAAGCTGCTTGGGAAGAAATTATTGACAGAGTTGAGCAAACTGGGATTGTGAGTTGTAGTCTTCACCCAACCTTCTGTGTTTGTTTCTAGTCTTGCTTTGCCATTAGTCACCTATTGCTTGTGATCATATTTTCTAGGATGCCATTGAAGTAAATTTCTCCTGCCCTCATGGAATGCCCGAGCGTAAAATGGGTGCTGCAGTTGGACAAGATTGTGCATTGTTGGAGGAGGTTTGTGGATGGATAAATGCAAAAGCAACTGTTCCTGTGTGGGCAAAGATGACTCCTAATATCACTGACATCACACAGGTGTGCCTGGTGCTTTTCATATTGTTATTATTACTATTAGTTCTTTTAATCCAGTAGTTCCTTCAAATTTTAATAACTTTCTTTTAGAACATAGCATAATCATTATTTGTTTAGAAGCCTGTTTGACTTATTGTATATTAAAGACATGGGGAACTAGTCTTTTATCCATATTATTGATCTGTATGATACCTCTTACTCATGTTGCTATCACTTCAGTTTCCATCTAGAATCTTGGATTTTGAATCATATTGAAAATTATTCTTTAAACTGACTCTGATGACAGGACCCAGGTCATGACATGATTTTGTAACTAATAGCTCTAACGTTTCATTTAGATGACCCAACCATGTTCATAATAACTTTTTCTACTGAACTATGAAAATTTCATTCTAGCATTTTTGGTGATTTTTTTTCCTCTCATTGACGTGATACTGCTGGCAATGAAGCCTCAACTCAAAGGTAAGAGGCCTATAACTGCAAGGTCGTAGGTCAAATCGAAGGGCATGTGATTTCATTTTTATTGTTTTTCTCATGCCTCTGCTTGAAATTGTTGCCTATTGGGAGAGTGGAAAGTGATTTTCATTCTCACATCTGCTTGTGGGAATTTTTTTGGAAACATGACAACTAAAAGACTGAAATTTTGAAATATTTCCTTTAGTACAGATCTTGTTCATAGGTTATAATTTATAGAAAGTATAGTTAAGAACACTAAAATCATATCTAGGAAAAGAATTGTTTTCTCTTAATTTTAAAGGCCTTTTGGTATTAAATTACATAAGGCACTGAAGGCTTGCTCCATGCATTTTTCACATGAATTAAAAATCAATAGTCAAACTGCTGATTTGGCTTTCTATATTAATGGTTTCTTTTCTTGAGAATGCAACTCACAAACCAGTATCTCCCAACTTTAAAGAATTCTGTGTAATTATTTGGTACACTTTGGATTGAAGTATCAGTCTTGAAAATTTCCCTTTAAAGAACAAATAAATATGCCATAGAATTATAATAACTTCCTTACTTTTTTTTTTCTTCTACCTTTCCTTCCTGATGTATACTACTATTTGGCCATCACATGGCATATGAAGCAACAGTTTAGTTGAACTTTTACTCTTAAGTGATGCTATCCTCCTGTTGTATATAGCCAGCTAGAGTGGCTTTGCGATCAGGATGTGAGGGGGTGTCTGCCATTAATACAATCATGAGTGTAATGGGAATTAATCTCAATACCTTGCGTCCAGAGCCTTGTGTTGAGGGGTATGTACCAATTTCTACAGCATGATTACTTAGAGGCTTAACATTCATTAAAGAAAGCTGTGCGTTTAATTCTGTTGTTAGGTACTCAACACCTGGGGGCTATTCATCCAAGGCTGTCCATCCTATTGCCCTTGGAAAGGTGATGAGCATTGCAAAAATGATGAAATCAGAATTTAATGACAAGGAATACTCTCTTTCTGGCATTGGGGGTGTTGAGACTGGCAGTGATGCAGCTGAATTTATTCTTCTTGGAGCAAATACTGTTCAGGTACGATCAGAAAATAATTCTCCAAAATTACTTCCTCTGAAATAGGATCTTGTCTGTCCTTTTGTAGCATGATTGAATCTTATTTTTTCATAGAATCCTATATTTTAGCTTTTTGTTTCTTAAAATTCAATACATGGGTTCTTCTTGGCAAATCTATATCAATAAGTGTCCAACTGTACTTTCAAATAACTTTATCCTATTGCATTTTCAACATCAATATGTGTCCGTCTATCAAATTTATATCAATAAGGTTCCATTATGTGACAGTTGTTATTGGATTGTGGATAAATATGATTTGATATGGTGCTTGTCAAGAGCAGAATTCTTTGAACCGTCTGCTGTCTTTGAGATCACATGGCTGCTATATTCATTATTGAATTTCCTAAATCTTTCTTATTAATAATTTTCTGTTCATAGGTCTGTACCGGGGTCATGATGCACGGTTATGGCCTTGTGAAGAAGCTCTGTGAAGAGCTAAAGGATTTCATGAAGATGCACAATTTCTCATCGATAGAAGATTTCAGAGGGTTTGCATTTTATGAGAGAACAAACTTTCTTAGTATGGAAACTGTAAATGGAATCAAGGAATCATTTTTGTTTGTATACTGAATTTAGTCTTTTTGTATGATGGTTTCTCAGGGTTTCTCTTCAATATTTTACAACTCACATGGATTTGGTGCGACGACAGCAAGAAGCAATTCAGCAGAGGAAGGCTATCAAGAAAGGTTTGCAATCTGACAAGGACTGGACAGGAGATGGATTTGTAAAAGAGAGTGAGAGCATGGTTTCTAACTAAATCATACAACTCCAGTAAGTCTTCTCCCTTGTATGATAAAAAATAAAGGAGCTTCCTTTATATGCATGTCAGAAATGTGGTGTAACTGGCTGACATACTAATGCAATAACTTTTCTTTAAATTGTCTGGCGAAGTTAATTGAAAGCAAATTGTGAATTAAAAACATACAGTAGTTACAAAATAAATAAAATTATAGATAACAGGAGTACTTCTACCATTAAGAAAATGCAGTAGTTCGAAGGCATAGAATATGATGGTCCTACCACGTTACATATTTTATGTCATGAAGAAAAACCACTACAGTTACTGTTTTTGGATGAGCTAGTCTGCATTCTGTTGGTCATCACTCCACTTGAAATCAGTCATTTCTGCTGCCTGCAAAACAAAGTTCAAAGTCCAAATATAATCATCTTATTGAGAAAACTTGATTGGAGACAGGAAATCGATGTGAGTTACTTACAAAAACTGCATCAGCAGGTTGTGGATTATTAGCTGTGGTGAGTTCTCTTAGTTGTGAATGCATGCTACTTATGAAGGCTATTGTTTCTTGCTGAGGCTCCTCCATTGCTTCTTTTAACTTGCTAAGCGCTGTGCAGTATGCTTCCTGCCAATTCAATTTTAATTATCATAAGTACATGTATAGGCCTCATCATAAATCAGATTGTTCCACAAGTTTACTTCTATATAAAACTAAAATTAAATGTTTACCATATAAAGTATAAAATAGTTGCATGATTTTAATCTCTAAACTCTCGGGATGTTCACAGTTTGAGGGAAAAGGGAAGGCTCCCCACTAGACTGGAGCTTCTGCCCCACCACACTCCTGTTTCTCTTAAATTAAATAGGCTTTTAAATCAGGTCAGGATTTACATATTCTTCAAAGTTAGAATACCCAAATTCACCTCCAAAGTATGATAGCAAGGACAGATCGACCCATGAACAAAAAATAAGAACAAATTTACTCACAAAGTTTTCGATTTGGATAAATCATTTAACGTGTGATGTCATTTAACATCAGTAATATGTTAATTTGACATCATCTGACGTCAGCAATTTGTTAACTACTGATGTCAAATGATGTTACACGTTAAATTTAAGGTGATTTATTCAAGTCGAAAACTTTATGAGTGGATTTATCTCTTTTTTTGTTTGGGGTGAATCCATCCCTACCACGATACTTTAGGGGCGGATTTGGGTATTTTGCTTTCTACAAAAATTCACATTATATTTCTCTTTCCATGTGAGATTCAGACATGAGACTTTAATTTGCATTTAATGAAGGCTTACACATCACTCCTTATAATGACTTAAGCCGACCTCAACAGGTTCCTTTTATGACCTTTAAAATTCATAAATAACATGAGTTAAGGCTTAGCGATCAATGGCCTAGTGTTATTGTAAATGTAAGACCAAGAAGTCTTGCACCTATATAAGGTTATCCTAACCTATAAATTACAAAAGATGGGAACCAATACAAAGCTAAATTAAAATTTACATTAAGGTACAACTTCAAAATGAAATCTCAAGATTTTTAAATTTACACTAGAAAATTTATTAATATACTTTTTGATTTAACATAGAATATATACTGATTCAGCTATTAAAATCTACATCTTTAAATTTTTTTTGTTTTTAATTTAAATTTAAAAATAATAATTTCTTAATAAATGTGTTGTGAAGTGTATTAAAGTAAATAGTGTATCAATAATTATCCTTTACATTATCACTATAATTTGTCTTCATTATATGATAAAGATGAAACTAATGTAGTGAAATACTCAGTCCATTTAAAATTAGTTGTCTTATTTTTTACATCTTTAGCAATTGGAAAATTTTTTTTCCATACATAATTCTTGCTAGGTAATTTCACTTTAAAAAAATGTTTTTGTTTATCATTTATTTACTAATTTTGAAAGGAGGTTGTAACATTTTTCTTTTTAGTATCTAGAAGGAAATTAAACTGTCATTTTGAAGCTAAATGCAAGTGAGATAATATTTTCCATGCTTACAAAAAAAAAAAAAAAAGCTTCTATTATTTTGTTCTACAAGGGTTAAATAAAAAAAAATATTTTGCAATTTAAATTGCACAAAGTTACAAAACATTAATTATTAAATTAGGAAAAACCCCAAAGGGGGCCATGCGAATGTGGATCGGATGTTTGATCAAATACAAGTGAGGTCTTTTTTGTGGATAAAAAATATAGGGAAAGGAGGAAGTTTTACTTTTT